CAGTCTGCCCAAGGGGAGTTTCCCTAGGGGTGTGGCCTACTTGCAATGATATCCAAGGACAATCTGGAAGAACGGCATTCCTTAAGGAATTGGAACCCTGGTGTGCGAACTTCCTTGAGTGAGCGGCCCACCGCTCGGCCTGGAGATCTCGGATTCATCTTTTGTTGGAATCAACAACCAGTATACTGCATGCCAGCTTGAATCTCTCGGCTCCCCTGTGCTTGCGGAAGCCAAGGCGGCTGCAAGCCCCATCTCCTCCAGAGACGGACTTTTCGGCTTGGACTTGTCGGCTTCTATACGCTTGTGAGCCATTTACCTAAGATAAATCTCTCTCTCTCTCTCTCTCTAAATATATATATATATATATATATATATATATATATACTTTGCTGGTTTTTTGTGTTTCTCTAGAGAACCCAATCTAACACAATGTCCCCTGTGACTATGGTCCCGAGCCCACAGGTTCAACTACTTGGTCTCTCTGAGTAGCTGGCTGTGACAAGAAGTGACTACAAACTTGTCCCTTGTCAGCTCTACTATACACCTGCGAATTCAGATCATACAAATACACTTACAGGCCCATTGTCTGCCAACCCTATACATGGTGTTGGGTACCCTCCCCACTTCATAGAAGGCATGGTATTTTCAATCACCTCAAATGCATGTGAAAGCTAGGTCATGAATAAGGAAGACTGAAGAAGAACTGATGCATTTGAATTGTAGTATTGGCTAAGAATACTGAAAATACCTTGGACTGCCAGAAGAATGAACAAATCTGTCCTGGAAGAAGTACAGCTGGAATGCTCCTTAGAAGCAAGAATTGCCAGATTTTGTCTCACATACTTTGGTCATGTGGTCAGAAGGGACCAGTCCCTGGAGAAATATACCGTGTTTGGTAAAGTAGGGGGTCAGTGAAAAAACAGAAGACCTTCAACGAGGGGAGTGACACAGTGGCTGCAATGATGGGCTCAAGCATGGCAAGGATTGTGAGGATGGCACAGGACCAGGCAGTGTTTCGTTCTGAGTACATAGGGTCACTGTGAGTAGGCACCAACTCGATGGCACCTAACACCAACAACAAACTGAGAAAATAAAGTTCTGTTCTTTAAAGCCACCTATTTGTGGAATATCTGTTATAGTAGCACGAGGGAACTAAGACACATGGCAAGGGCAAGGAGTAGCTAGATAGCCAGGGTAGCTGGAGAATATATAGTAAGACAGAGAAACAGAGGCAAATTGGGTCTACAGGTGGCAAGAGGCTGGATCACATAGGGCTGTTGTAGAACAGCTCTGGATCATTTGGGACGCCACTGGAGAGTTTACAGCTGGGGAGGGACATGATCTGGCTGATGTTACCGAAACACTGGGCAAGTGAAATAGAAATTCCACTTTCTATAAGTGTGTTTGTGTAGTAGGCAATTTTCACATCACCTGCTCATAAAAATATACTTCAGGGCTAAAGGAAAGCTCCTGTGTTGACAATGTCACCAGCTATATAGGCAGGACTGTGGGGACCGCTTGCTGCTTTGGGATGGTTCCATGCTTTACAGGTAAAATAGAATGTTGAACATTGAATATCTCTCACGCAGACAAAACATAATTGGAAAACACTTAAAACCATCATTGCACCACCTACTTAATGATAAAACAATCAGTATACAAGGATTAATGCACAGTTTTGGGGGACATTAATCAATAGTTGTTTCCAAATACATGAAACAGATAAAACTGACATATATTTGTAATCAAGACTGGAATTCTGAATGTTAAGCGCAGAATTTGAAAGCATCTTTGCCTGTTAAGTAGTAAACAGCAGCAGTAAAATGTTCAGTGGTCTCCCAGCCGCTTCTAGAATTTGTAAGTACCCATTCCCGGTGATATATTATGTGGCTTCAGGCTCATGGGATACCATCTTTATAAGCTTTTTCATAAAGGTGTAAGGTTCTCCACTGTGAAAGAGGGGACAAGCCTATCTGGGCAGGAAACACATGGACTGTGGGTTCAGGTGTGTGTGTCTAGTTGGTGGAGATGGTACAACTGTTCTAGAACTACAGTGGGGGTGAAGGGGTGAAGCTCGGACCTTTTGGAGTTCTCCAGTCAAGCCAAAACGCGTGGAGGCAGGTAATCAAAGATCACAGGCCCCAGTGGGTGGCAAGCTGGAAGGAAAAGAGAAGGGTAACTCACACGCAGGCCTGGCTGATGTTTGCAGCGCCTGCCCTGGTTCCCAGCTATTAGAACCGAGCAACAAGGATGCAGTGGTCTGGGATTACTAGATGTTGCACAGGAATGGCTGCAGGTTCCAGGGCTCCCTCAGCTGCAGCCCCCACAGTCGGCAGTCAGGTAGAGTGGAATACAGCTAGATGTCTATGAAGGGTCATTGCCACAGTGGCCAGCAAACCATGGAACTCCAGACTCTAATAAACCAAACTCACTGCCTTCGAGTGGATTGCAACTCATAGTGACCCCTCCTTGGGTTTCGGAGGTGGTACCACTACGGAAGTAGATTGCCCAACCTTCTTTCCAAGGAGTGGCTAGTGGGTTTGAACCGTTAGCCTTCTGGTTAGCAGTCAGTGCCTTAGGCACTATGCTACCAGCGCTCCAGAGCTCCTAGATATGGTCTAATGGTGAATGGTGTAGAAAACCAACCAAAGAAAAGACCCATGTAAATAGATAAATGAATATAAATAGCGATTGGGACTCAGCAGGAAACAAAGGGAGTGTTGGAAAAGATCAGCAGAGAGGCCTCAGGGAGAGCCTTTTGGAGGAGGTGATTTCAGCAGACACGGATGGGAACCGAGAACCGAGTGCAGAATCGGGTTGGGAGGCAAATCAGGTTGGGGGGAGGCAGGACCTGCAGGCTGGGAAGGCCACATTCGGAGGCTACTGCAGTCCGAGCCCAGGCAATGCACTGAGGGTTTAAGCATAGAACTGTTTGTTTTAGGCTCACTTAGTGCCTGAGGCACTTGACTGCTAACCAGAAGGCTGGTGGTTCAAACCCACCAGCCACTCCTTGGAAGGAAGGCTGGGCAATCTGCTCCTGTAGTGATACGCCTGGGAAACCCAAGGAGGGGTCGCTATGAGTCAGGTTTGACTCCACGGCACATAACGACAACAGGCTGCAGTATGGGAAATGGAGTGTCTTTAGGGTCATCTCAGAGCTGGTGCAGAAGTGTAGGACCATTAGGGGCCGTGCAAGAGTTGGGCCTGAGTCCTCCGAGTCGCAAGGATATACTTGCAGGTCAGATATTCTCAAATAACGAGCCCATTAGGGCACTTTTTTTTTTTTTTTTAACTGTGCTTTAGGTGCAAGTTTACAGAGCAGTTTGTTTTACATTCAACATTTCGTTTCACTCCCCAGTTACCATCCCAAACCCTAACCCACTCTCCTCCCCTCCATTCCCAGCATCCGCCCCCCACCCCGTGCCCCTCAGTTATGCACTCCTGTGTGTCCTGTTTTCCTCTGTGCAAATGTTGCATTAAGGCACGTTTTCATTGCTGCTGTGTATGGAGGCCCTCAAACGCATGGGTTCCAGGAGGCAAGACATTTTCCCCCTTTGAAGGAACTTGGACTCCCAACCGCGCTTTGTGGGTCACGTTGGTATCTTGGACACTTCCCCCTCTGTGCCTCAGTCTTCCCATGTGTCAAAGCCAGGACTTTGGGCCAGCCCACAGGTAACACCCTGGACCTTCAGCGCGCACCACGGGCAAAGTGACCACAGTCCCGGCAGAGGAGGCCGCGAGCCATTCACGGGGTTGGCTTCCCACCCGGCAAACAGGCGTGGTAGGGCGAGGAGTGCGCGCCTTCGAGACCCTAGCACACTCCGCATACAGCCCAGGCCGCCTAGTCCGTGGTTTCTGCGCCAACGATCCTGTCCGGCGCTGCCGGGGTGGGGCGGGGCCGAGTGCCCAGCCCTGGAAGGGACACCGGAGAAGCAAGCCGCCCGGAGCTCGGAGGCGGTGGCGGCGGCGGCGGTAGTGCCAGTGGCGAACTCCCGCATAATCCCGAGCACGAGCGCAGGACGGAGGTACGTGGTACAGCTCCAAGTTTCCCAGCCGGGTCTCGGGGCGGGAGGCTCGCCAAGCTGCCAGGCGCAGGTCTGCCCCGGGGCGCCCGCCTGCGCGCCGTCCCCGCCCCTCGGCGGCGCCCCCGCCCCTCTCCCGCCTCCTCCGCCTCCGCCTCCTTTAGGGCCCAAGAAGTGCCGGGCGCGCCAGCGAGCAGAGGGGACTGCTCTCGATTCACTTACTTCCGTGTCTCGCCGCACTAGGGCCAGCGCGCGCCAAGCTACCGCCACCATCGGACAATGGGACGCCCACCCTGGCTGCTGTGAGCTTCCTGCCGCGATCCGTCTGTAGGTCCGTCACTACTGCGGCCCGGGGCTGGTCGGTCCGTCCCGGCCCGTGCTCTCTCATCGCCCCACTAGGATCGCAGCTCCCAGGCCGCCGGAGGAAGCAGCTGGAGCGCCGGCGCCGGGGAAGTGCCTGCGCCTGAGGCCACCGCGCCTTCGCTCTTCTCGGGCGGGTCTGGTGGCCTCTACACTCTTCTCTAACCCGCCGGCTTCACCCGGTCCCCGCCCAGCAGCCGCTCGCTGCCATGTTGTGCGTTTCCGAGTTTGGTTTCTTAAGGAGGATGTGATTTGTGTATATGTGTGTGTGCGTGCGTGTATTTGTGACTATTTCTTTTTCTTTTTATGATTTGAGAAAGAAAAAAGAACTTTGCACGCCAGCCTGCGGACAGCGAAGTGCCACCAGGCCATCCCATGTGTAAGCGCACCGGGGAACAGGAGTTGTAAGCAAACTTCTTCCACCTGGCCTTGAGGCCTAAACGGCTGGACTCCAAGGCTTGGGACCATGACTTTCATGCTGGACAGGTGGAAGTCTTTAACTGCGCTGGGCTGGACTTGAGTCCAGGACCTTCCCCGGCGTTCGCTCAGCATTCCCTCTCCTCTGCTTATCCTCACTTACACGGGGCACTGTAGTAAGCCGGAGTATTTGGCTGCAACATGGATAAGTACGATGACCTGGGCCTGGAGGCCAGTAAATTCATCGAGGACCTGAACATGTATGAGGCCTCCAAGGATGGGCTCTTTCGTGTGGACAAGGGTGCAGGCAACAATCCTGAGTTTGAGGAAACACGCAGGGTGTTCGCCACCAAGATGGCCAAAATCCATCTTCAGCAGCAGCAACAGCTCCTGCAGGAGGAGGCCCTGCCCCGGGGAGGCCAAGGCCCAGTCAATGGTGGTGGCCGTCTGGGCCAGCAGGCTCACCGGGAAGCTGGTGTGGGCAGCAAGATAACCCTAGATGGTGCCGCCAAGCCTCCTCTTGCTGCCTCTACAGTGGCACCTGGGGCAGCTGCCACCATTGCTGCTGGGCAGCCCTTGTACCCACCCCAGGAGCAGAGGGCCAGGCCGTATGCCCGTGGCATGAGACATGGCAGTCAGGACTGTGGCTCTGGGGAGAGCCTGGAAAGTTCTGAGATGTCTGCTTTCCACCCACCAGGCACCTGCGAGGATTCTTCCTGCGTCACTCATGGAGACTATTACGACAACTTACCTTTGGCAAGCCCAAAGTGGGGCGATGAGCCAGGAGTGTCCCCTAACATCAGGCCAAGTGTAGGAGGAAGTGGATGGCCTGGCCCCCCAGGGAGTGACCCATCACTGCCCAAACTCTCTGGGAACCATCGTCTGTACCAGCCACAGCTGTCCCAGAGCTCCAACAAGTTGTTTGAAAGTGGCCTCAGTGGCCACAATGGTGGCATTGGTAGCCATGGTAGTGAGAAGCCAGTGGGCCCTTGGTCTACCTCTTCCCAGCGGGTGAACTCTGGCCTCCGTTCCTCAGGCCCAGAGAATGGACCTCCCCTAGGGCCCGCTCAGCCTAGGACCCCCTTCTCAGCACCCCTGACCCTGAGCCGCACTGGTCAAGGAGCTCTTCTAAGAACAAACTCAGGGGTGGAAAGTGAGGTTTCAGGTGTGTTGTCTAAACCTATTGTGGACCCTCAACCCTGGTTCCAGGATGGTCCCAAATCCTACCTTTCTAGTTCTGCTCCATCATCCTCTTCTGCCGTCATGGACAACTCACAGATAGATGTGGCCTTTAAGCTAGGTCCCAAATCTGGCTGTATAGACCCTGGCACTGGTCCCAAGCTCAGCTCCACCGGCCTTGTCCATCCAGTGATGTCCACCCTGTCTGAATTATCTTGTAAAGAGGATCCCCCTGGCTGGTCCCCTGACAGCAGCCTGGGACCTGTGTTCTCAGAGAGCCCCAGCCTCCCCAGGGTGCGGCTGCCCTGCCAGACCCTTGTGCCTGGCCCAGAGCTCGGACCCTCGGCCGCCGAATTGAAATTAGAAGCCCTCACCCAGCATCTGGAGCGGGAGATGGATGCTCACCCGAAGGCCGATTACTTTGGTGAGTGAGAGGTTGGTGGAGTTACCCAGGGTTGGGTGATGGGGTCCCTGTACTTGGGGGAAGTGAACTGCACCAAGGATGCTGCAGCTCACCTCCAGGGGCCTGCTTTTTTCTTGGGGGGGGGGTGTGTGTGGCAAGGAGGGTGGAGGCTTCCTCTTTCTGCTGCTGCTTCTGATTCAGAAACGTGAAAGCATCCCTGGGCAGAAAGCAGATCTTGCAGCTGGGGGTTACCCATGTGTGAAGGGTGAAATAGGGTGGGACTGCTCTTCATCATGGTCAGAAAAAGGAAATGCTGTGACTTTGGACTTCAGGAGTTTCAGGTGAGCTTCTTTCAAGAAACAGACTCTTGCTGGACTTGGATGAGAGTGACTGTTCAGGGCCAGATCCCCCTGAGCATCCTGTCAGTATGTTGACCAAGCAGGCCTGGCTATTTGAGGACCAGTGCATGGAGCAGGGGTACCTGACTGTGTGTATATGTGTGTGTGTGTGCATATGCGTGTGTGCATGTGCACGTGCAGGTACTTGAGTGCAGTTGACACAGGTACTTGAGTGCAGTTGATGCAGGTACCAACATGGAAGACTTTGATCTAGAGCAGCGGTTCTGGAAGTGTGGTTGCTGGACCAGCTGCATCTTTTCACCTGGGAGCTGGTTGGAAATGTGCATTCTGGAGCGCTACCCCAGACCTGCTGAGTCAGAAATTCTGGGGTGGGACCTGATAATCAGTGAGTTCATCATTGTTTGCTGGTCCTGATGTGGGGGATGGTTTGAGAACAGCTGGATTAGCTGCCTCGTCACTCAGCCCCAGCCCTGGGTGCCAGCCAGCAGCTGGGCTGGCGTGAAGTGGCTCACAAGAGGACGGAAGATGGTCCTTGCTGATGTTACTCAAAAGTACAGTTTTGTTTTTTTCTCTTTTTAAAACCACAAACTCTTGGAGACTGCTGGTTTCAGCCTTTTTTCTCCACACAGGGTTTTGATGCAGCAAGAAGGTAGCTATATTCTTCTGTTGAGTAATGATGCAGCTGTCTCATAGGAGAGCCAGCTAGAGAGCAGCCTGTACTTAGAAGAATCTGAGGGTTGTGTTTTCCTTTTGGACTCTGGATAATTGGGGTTATGATTTACCCACAGGAGGCCTGAGAGCCCTGGGAAACTCCGAGTACTACTAGCACAGCAGTTCTGTAGATTGGAGGAGAGCATGGGCCAGAAGGACCCTGGAGGGGGAAGATGTCTGGCTTACTGCTTTCAGTCTACTCTTACTCTCTATGATTGAATGATTCTGTTCCAAAATGCTTAAAGGGACACGAGTCTAAGTCATGGGCCCTTGGTCAGAACCCTCACTCCCTGTAGGATCTTTATGGGAATCAGCTCTCACACCACTCAGCAGTGGTGGAGTTGCTGTTATTGGTTCATTTTTCTAGCATGTAGCACCATCATACCCTGAACTGTCTCTTCTTTGCAGATTCCACTTTGGGATAATATTTAGCTGGAAATATTGTGGGTATTTTAATTTAAACTCTTATTTGATTTTTAATTTCAAAGTTAATGAGAAACAAATGGCAGTTAAATGTACTTAAGGATGCAAGTTTGCATTTTGTATCAGAGAGATGATAGCAGCTAACCAAAACCTAAACAACCCATTGCTCTCGAGTCAACCTGATCCATGGCAATCCCTATGTTATATAGCAGGACTGTCCTCCACAGGGTTTTCTTGTCTGTCATCTTTATGGAGGCAGATTGCCAGGCTCTTGTTCTGTGGTGCCACTGGGTGCATTGCCAACCTTTACGTTGGTTGTCGAGCATGAACTATTGAGCATCTGCCTTGTACCTTGCTCTCTGCTAGGCTTTGAGGTTCCAACAGTGAACAGGACAGAAAAAAAACTCAATCCTCCTAAAGAAGACATTGTGGAAGGAGACAGGAAATGAGCAAAATAAATAAACAAGTTGTATGGAGAGAAAGGAGCCCTGGTGGCTCAGTGGCTTAAACACTCATGCTAACCAAAAGGGTGGCGATTTGAACCCATAAGCCGCTTCGTGGGAGAAAGCTGGAGCAGTCTGCTTCTGTAAAGATTTCTAGCCCTAGAAACTCTATGGGACAATTCTATTGTGTCCTGTAGGGTTGCTATGAGCCAGAAATGATGGCAGTGGTGTTTTTTTTTGTTGTTGTTTTCCAAAGGAGAGAAATAAGATTGTGGGTGGAGTTGCAGGGCAGGGGTAGGTAGGAGATTTGTGGTTTTAAATCAGTAGTCAGGGACGGTCTTACCAAGAAGGTAGCATTTGAACAAAGGCTTGAATGAGGTGAGGAGAGCATAATGCATATCTACCTGTGGAACAGATGCTCTGGGTGGGGGAGACTACTGGGGGGCTGCTCCCATCCATGCCCTGCACTGGATACTTGATGTTGACTATTTAACTTATTTGGCCCAATAACGTTAGGCAACAGGTTCTATCCTTTTGCTCATTTTACCCATGAAGAAACTCAAGCTCAGGGAGCTGAGTACTATCCACAGCCTCACAGGTAGTTCTGGGTTTAAACCTGACCATTTAGCGCCTGTGCCCATGCTTCTCACTGCCCAACTGCATTACCAAATGGCCTCCCAGGCATAGCTTTGAAATCTTTTTTTTAGTTTATTTTTATTTTTTTACTTTGAAATCTTTTTAATGAGCGAATTTATTATTATTATTTGACTAAGCATTCTATTCACCTAGAAAATTCAGAAGCTGTAGAAGCATGTCCAGGGAGATACTGCTCTCCTCCCCACCCCTGTTAGTCATCAAGTGTCCTTCTGGGTATAATGAATATAAATATATCTATCTCGCAATAGTGTCACGCTCCCCACCTGCTCTTTGCCATTTCCACTGAACAGTGTGTCTTGGCAGTTATCCCACATCAGCACGTGTTGATTGCCTCAATGTTGATTGCCTCAATGTCGCCACTGTGTGGATGTGCCCCAGGTCACGTAAGCAGCCCTCACTGTTGGACCTTTAAAATGTGCTCATCTGCAAGGAACAAGTATAACTGTAGGATAACCCCCCAGGAGTGGGATTGTGGGGCTGGGGCTTTGTGCTGGATAGATGTTGCCTAGTTGCTTTCCACCTGCTTGGGCTATGGAGCTCCGATCTGTGTGAGGCAAGAGGAGGTTGCTTCATCTGACCATCCAATGCTGGCCCAACCCTGCTGTGGGACCTGAACAAACCACGTGCTGTTTCAGGCCTCACTTCCCTCGTCTGTCGTGTGAGGTTCTGGACCAGCTCAGGGGCTTACCACCATGGCTGTTGTTCTCTTCCTGAGGTCTGGTATCATTTTAGATGATTTTGTCTCCCAACACGCTGTTGTTGTTGTTGTTGTTGCTAGGTGCTATGTTGAGTTGATTTTCAACTCATAGCAACCCTATATGACAGAGTAGAATTGCTCTGTAGGGTTTTCTTGTCTGATTTTTATAGGAGCTGATTGCCAGGTCTTTTCTCCTGCAAAGCCACTGGGTGGGTTCAGTTAATAGCTGAGTACTTAATCTTTGGGGCACTCTGGTAGTATAGTGCCTAAGGCACTTGACTGCTAATCAGAAGGCTGGCGGTTCAAACCCACCAGCCTCTCCTTGGAAGGAAGGTTGGGGAATCTACTTCCGTAGTGATACTGCCTCGGAAACCCAAGGAGGGGTTGCTATGAGTTGAGTGCGACTCAATTGCACATAACAACACAACAACTTAACTTTGTGCCACCAGGGCTCCTTCCCCACCATGCTACGTGTCTGAAAGGCTGTGGCCAACATTTAGAGTCCCAGCCTGGTTGTTAGTATACTTTGGTTTTGCTGTTTCACATGCTTGAAAACACCTGCTGATGAATATCTCAAAAAATGTGTCTTTGTGCTGGCATGTCAGTTGTTTCACAAATAGAGAAATGTTTAAGGTACAAGGGCCTTGCCAGAGAGGGTCAGGATAGTTTAACTGCTGCCGTCGAAGTTGTAATTCTAGCCAAAAATAAAATAGGTTTTTTTGGCTAATTTACCTAGGCATCCTTACTGTGTCAGACAAAAGGGGTCCTTTTGGCTGTTTGACATTGTGGGAAGAGCTTGTGAAACCCAGTTACCCCCTTTGAGGACTCACGGGGATCTGAAAGCACCCTGGTTTCAAGTTACTAGATAGCTCATCAGCAAAGTCTTCTGAGATCCCCACACTGTCTCTGGTTTACTTAAATGTGATCCTACAAAGGTGCTGTTTCTTTCCTCTCTTCCTCCTGGGTCCACCTTCCCTTCTCTCACATCCTCTGTGACCTTTCTGATGTATCCTTCTGTCCACGAGGAAAGAGTTAAGGACAAACTCTTGATGCTGCTTGGAGAATGTTGTTCCATACCAAACCAAACCAAAGTCACTGCCTTCAAGTCGATTGCAACTCATTCCAACCCCTCCTTGGGTTTCCGAGAGATATCTCTAAGGAAGTAGATTGCCCAGTCTTCCTTCCGAGGAGATGGGTTTGAACCACCAGCCTTTTGGTGAGCACTCAAATGCCTTAGGCACTATGCCACCAGAGCTTCCAGAAAATGTTGTTAGGGTATCCATAAAGACTAGAGTCTTGGAAACCCTATGGGGCAGTTCTGCTCTGTTCTTTATGGTTGCTATAAGTTGGAGTCAACTTGGCAGCAGTGTTTTTTTGTTTGTTTTTTTTAATTATTTGTTTATACTGTGGAGGTAAAGTGAAGGGAGTATCACACCTTTTGTTTAATCTTGCCCTGACCTTCTTCCCCTCCACTGTATCTACTTGTCTTCCTCATACTGGTCCCCTCCTTCCTTTCCAAGGAAAGAAGACCCAAATAAACCACTTGTCACAGGCTGGGTTCCCCAGGAAGCCAACTTGAGACAGAATTTGGTGTGCAGGGGGCTTATTGTGGAGTGCTCGTGGAGCACTCTGGTGCTAACCAAAAGGTTGGAGGTTCAACCACCCAGAGGTGCCTTGGAAGAAAGACCTGATGATCTGCTTCTGAAAAGTCAGCCATTGAAAACCCCGTGG